AGCGGCGGCGGCGAGCGGCGGCAGCGGCAGCGGCAGCGAGCGGCGGCAGCGGCAGCAGCAGCGGCGAGCGGCGGCAGCGGCGAGCGGCAGCGGGAAAGGGAGCGGAAGGCGCGAGCAGCGGGAAGGCTCGCGGGAGGGCTCGCAGGAGGCGAGAGGGCTCGCGGGAGGCGCGAGCAGCGGGAGGGCTCGCGGGAGGCGCGAGCAGCGGGAAGGCTCGCAGGAGGCGTGAGCAGCGGCAGCGAGCGACGAGATCGGGATCGGGATCGGGATCGAGAGCGGCAGCGGCAGCAGGTTAGTGTTGGGTTAGGGTTAGGGTTAGGGTTGGGGTTATATCGATTTAGTTGGATCGAGAGCGCCCAGGCGGCGCCTGTTTGAAGCGCGCCGCCTGGGTCATTAGCGAGGCGCTCGGGCCTCGCCTCGCCTCGCCCGAGCGCCTTTTGCAATCACTGATCTGAACGCAATACATTCTTTAGATTCATTTTGCAAATGGTGGGATCTGTTAGTGCTGGATCTACCAAGTCTTTCTTCACTTTGTTTAGAAGTTACATGCACAGTTGGAGAAATCCAATTCATAACTTACTTGGGTTTATTGTAGGGACTTCTAGCTTCATCATAATGGTGCTCCAGGTGCTATACTATTGAGTTCGTCGATTGCTATGCCTATCTGAACTTCACCATAACAACATTCTTATACATGGTTCATATCTATGTTCTTCTAAGTTCCTATGGAATTTTCTGTATGCTCTAACTTAAAAAAGGAGACCCGTTTTTGCTCGATTGACATTTCAAACTATAAGTGCTTAATTTTTTTTGTGCTTAGTAACTATAATATTTTTTCTTCAAGTCCATATCTCCTGTCCATTTTGTCTATTATAAGTTTCCTTACGCATTACGCAGATCATTGATTTTCCTAAACTACTAGCAGCAGCTTTCTTCTTTTCTTGAATACTGTTTGTTTTTCTGCAGTGGCAATTTTTTTGTTGAAATTGAACAGCTACCATGAGATCCTTGTCTGTTTCCATCATTTTCTGAACAACGATATTGTCTTGAGTTAATATCTCTCATTTTATTGTAGAAAAGATCGATGCGTCCGAAAAACTTCGTCCAGAAGAACTAAATCAACAAAACATTGAGGCTCTAGTTGCTGAAAGTAACTTGGTATTTTTATTGGAACTTTCCAATTCTTGTGTTGTTGACTTCAATTACTGGTATCTTATAACAATTGCACAATTTTGTTTCACAAATGGATGTGTAGTTGTTTGTTTAATTCCTAAATTTTTAAAAGCCACTTCTATTCAGGTTTTACCTTTATCCTCATGAGCCTTAGCCATGACACTTATCTTTTGATTTATTATATGAAAATTTTGTGTGGAAATTTCAAGTTATTCTATGTGAAGTTTTGTTGCTTTAACTGAAGTACGGAGCAGCTAGTGCCGCTATGACTCTTAGTATATGAGATGACTGTTGCACTAATCTATGATATAATGATATGTAAAAGGTTCTAGATACAAGGAATGGGTATACAGCTTAAATAATTTGGATGTGCATTCTTCAATGTCCAAAGATATAACTGAAAGTATTACTATTAATTTTAAATGTCATAATTATGAGAACTATTTTGTTTAAAACACTTATAAGTAGTTGCAGATCTATCTGAGCTAACCACTTCCTTGTAAGTTTAAATAGGATTCTTAACTTTGTCAATTAGGACTTTCACTTAATATTGAGAATAACTTCCTGGAAATCTAGTAGGTAGGTTAGCTTCTAGATATTTTTAATTATGGAACAATCTACGTTGAGAGATTTTCTTGCATTTTGTTATTGGTGTTATGTAAGGAAAAGGTACCTTTTTCATATTAGTAGTTGCAGATTGGGAAAGGTGGTCCAGGTTTAATGTAAACCAAGGTTTGTCATACTGTAGCATACCATTCAATACGGGGGTACGTATTGATTCAACAGTGGACCGGTATGGGTGGTATATCGGTACACTCCCATATACCATGTGTTGGTATGCTCGGTATCGCTCGGTGCATATCGTATCGATAGTTGGTTGATACACCGATACAAACCGATAAGATGAACCATGATGTAAACCCCTAACAATTCGAGACTTTAGGCCCCCATTTTTAGCAAAAGTGAAATTTTTTGCATCCTACCTAACCTAAACTTCAGGCTGGGCTCTTGGCAGTGGGTTGGGTCAGGTCTGGCTGGAAGGGGTTGGTTTACACTTTACATGTGTTCTATATTACCAATAATTAATAAAATCTGAAACTAAACAAATATATAGTAAACACTTCAGACTTATTGGGTTCAACCTGGGAATAGGTTAAACTAGTCTGAATTGGTTTGGGATGAGTTGTGGGTTAACCAAACCAAATACAAGTTGGTGTCTGGTCAAGATTCTCAACCCTCAACAAGCCTCATGTCCAAGTTACAGCCTGTACCTTACATGATCTTTTGTAATATTAGATGTTGCTCTATATTCTTATATATGATTTAGTTCTGTCAGCTTGTCGATAGGGTCCCACATGGATTCATATGCTTGCTTTTGTACATAACCAATATGCTTTCTTTAGTACTGTTCAGAAAAGCTGATTCATATGCTTGTTTGTTGGAAAAAGAAAATGAATGTGGACATTGTTATCTCAATATCTGATCCATATAATTATTTACAAACTTGGGTTCTACATTAGATTATGAAGTTTAATTTTTTGCAATGAACAAATTTTAACCTTGACCAAGGTAGTTAAAGAATGGAATGTAGAGCAAAAGAATATGATTCCTGATAGTAAGAGAAGAAATATACTGTGATAGCCTGAATCAGAAGGGCCTACGAGCAATAACAGCAACCTGACTTTTGCCTTAGAAGAAAGGACTTCTTGACTTGAAAATTGCATTAAGATCATGTGATGAAATTTGAAATGTTATTAAGCTGCAAATAGAAAGCTGAGAAAACCTGTGGTTTGTCCTATTCTATGTCGTAGCATAAGAATCTAGAGCGATCTCGTACCTCATTTGTACCCTCAAAATTTTACTTGATAGTCCAATGAGTTAGACAAAGACTATTCAAGACCTACCTGGTTTTCTTTTTCTAAGAGTCGGTTCCCTCCTACTGCTATCTCGATGAATAATTGCGTGGTAATTTATATAAATCCAACTTCTTTTTAATTACTCAATTGAAAAAAAAAAAAGAATGGTGGTTCCCTCCTACAGTCATTTCTTCAGATCTGATTTGATTGAGATCTTTCCTCTTGATGTAAGTATTAATCTTGTTAATGGGTATTTTGGCCCCTCTCAGGGACCATGGCAGTAGAAGTAGCCAAATTTGTATAGTACCTAAAATGTGTGGGATATTGAATATGCATCACAAAACGATTATTTGCTTATCTTATTTCAAAATAAATTCGAAACCATATCTACTTTGTGGCATTGGTATTTTGAATTCTGCTCCTAAAAGATGACAAGGTAAATTTTTCCTTTTGTTTTCTTAAATTGTTTTGGAAGTCCAACAATTGCATTTGACCTCCTGGTTACCTTGTTTGTTATAGTAGATGACTATGGCCATTGATCCAATGACGTTTGTTTGTGAATGCAACTGCTTGTGCAGAAAATGGAGATACTTCCAGTTAATGATTTGGATATTGCATTGCACGACTTTGTAAGCAAGGATGACAAGATGGCTTTTTACTCTTGCTTGCAGAATAATCTCGAGGAAACACGAGTAATCTTTTTTGCTTCTATTTTGAAAGATAACACTGGAATTGTGCATTCTTCAATTGCTATAGCTTGGATAAGTGTTACTAATTCCATTGATCTGGGTCTGTACAGAACAAACTGGTTGCTGAAGCAGATACTTTAAAAATTGAAGAGAACCTTATTGTCAAAGTGGGCGAGTGCATGCAGGCATGTGCATTATGTTATTAATCATGTTCACCGGATGGCCAAATGATCAGTAAAGATAGATGTTATTGCCTAGTAAATGTCTGTTCTACAGGAACGAGTAAAGGAAAGGTCACTGCGTTCCAAGGAAAGCATGCGAACAACAACAGGCTCTCAGAACATTCAGGTTGCATAGCATGAACCAATCCAGACATTTAATAAAGTTAAATACACGAACAATCTGTTTCTTGTATATGATTTCAAATGTCGGTATATCCAGGGCACTAGAAACGAGAATGCAACTGGCCCTACTTTTAGTGATGAAGAGGATACCAGGCAGATGCTCTCCATTTCAAAGTCTGCCCAACGAAGAGGTGGGGCTTCCAGGAGAGGCAGGGGCAGGGGTTCTAGCAGTCTAAAGCAGATGACTCTAGATGGAACTATGAGAACCCGCCATTCTGAGAGGTACTGTTTCAATCAGCATGCTCTGTGCCATGTGATTGTCAGATGATATATTTATGTTAAAACTTTGAATTTTTCTGTTCTGCTTCTAGTCATTTTTGCTACGCACCATTCATTAAATCAAGGTTCGTCGTATCGTACCGTACCGACGTTTCGACCCAGGCTCGGTATGATACGGTACCAGTGTACCGGGCGGTACATCAGGACGTATCGAGCGGTACACCCTGGTGTACCGAACAATTTCATTTTTTTATACTGTAGCACTGTAACGGTACCGGACGGTCCATGTATCGGTAACCTGTCGGACCGGTACGTACCGCCCGGTATGGGCGGTACGCTTCAGTATGACAGACCTTGCATTAAATCCTATATTCTATACATGGATTCCGTGACTGTATTTTGTTTCATCTATTCCGACACATGATTAATTTTCCATTTTCTGTACTTGTAGATCAACATCAGGCTCTGCATCTGTTGCGACTAGAAGTATTGTGGATGAAGGAATTGACTCTCCATCAAGTGAAGAAAGAGAGAGGGACGAACTACATGATCTTGTTGAGAATTCTGTGCGTTCTGTTTTTGTTTCCCTTTCTTTGTCTATACTTTTCGAATATCAATTTATGCTTCTAACTTTAATTCAATTCTTTTCCTTATCTAAGGAACCTGAAGAAATTAAGAAAGACAAAGGCCGGAAAAGAGCTGCACCTCGAGGAAGAGGTAGAGGTTCCACATCATCTGCAAAGAGGGGACGGAAATCAGATTTTACTTCTATCCAGAGCATGCTTATGAACAAGGATGGTGACGATGACGATGACGATGAGGATGATATCTCAACTAGACTGAAGAAAGTTCAGCCTCAGGTATGTACTTTGATATCAGATCGTCTTCTATTCTGCAAATTAGGCAAGCCTGATTGATTGAGAAAAACAAGTTACGAGACCACATCATGTGTACCCTGGAACATTAATTCTTTTTGCATTATACGCATTGTCTCATAGGAGTTTTGAAATGGCACTTCTAAATTTTGATTATGTCGTGCCATTATCTTGGTTTTAAGATCAATAAGATTTTGTGGATGTGCATCATCTAAGTCCGGTCTCCTTGAAAATTTACCCAATATCACCTCTCAGTGGTATATAAACGAATCAAACCCTGAAAAAATGAAACAAAAACACATTCTGATTAATTGTGCAAGTTATTTAAACCTGAAAGACCATAATGTACCACGAGAACTCAGTTTGGCAGTTCCACAAGTTTGGCCACATATATTTCGATGCTTGCAGAATATGCTTACATGGTCCTCCTGTTTCTTGTATGTTGCAGGTAACCAGAAACTATGGTGCTATTCGGAAGAGATGATGTGATTGAGGTCATTTTGATGCAGATGCATCAAAAGAATTGTCTCGTTATCACAGATTTGTGCTGTTTCCCTTCTCTAATATTCACCTTCGCCTAGCTTTCGTTTCGGAGACTTGTGTGGATATTCTGGGATTCGACACGAGAATCATTTTACCCTTTTGTTCTTTGGGAATGTGTTTTGTGGTGCGTCCTTGCATAGAGTATCTTGTTTGTTTATTTACGTAAATGTTTTTTTATCATATATTTGGATCCTGTCAATCTTTGATAAGAATCTGATGAAAGTCTTTGAGAACATGAGGATGTTAAAAAGTTTTTGACCGTCGAATCTTATCTTCACTTCGATTGTCTTCATTTATCGAAAGCATCTGCGTAGGGTGTGTGGTGGCTGGCCGACGACCAATGCCATATCATTTAGGGCCCTCGGCTATGGAAGGAGGGGAATTATAAGGACAATGAATCTTTTGTTGAATCTTAGATTTTGATGATAAAATCAAGTGATGAATTTATGATCTAATTCATGATAAAAGTGATATAGGACTAACTATGATTATGAAAAGATAAAATAATTAAAGTAAAATAATCAAATGTTGGGTCGGAGTCAAAGATCGGATATCGAGTCAGAAGTATCAAACGTTGCATCAAGATCGGATGTTGCAAGAATCAACATGTCAATAGATCGAGCGATATATCGAAATCGAAAGTTCGGACGATGCGTCGGAAGTTCATCGGGAGTTTGGATGAACAAACGACATATTAGACAACTAAGATTGCTTGTATTGTAATTGTTTAAGCCTTAATTATCGTAGTTTGATCTTAATTTGAGTTAGTTTTGAGAGTAATCGTACTAACTGAAATAGTAGCCAATTGGGTCTTAATTAGGATTGACTTGGGCCTATTGTTTGACCTATTTAGTGATTTGGACCCACGTCAAGTGATGACACCGCTGGAATTGCTTGAGGCTCGGCCTCCCAGAATTTGTCTGGGCGATGGTATTGTTCGGACTAGGCAAGGTACCGTCGACAATTAATGTTGTCAAGCGATGGTATTGTCGGAGCTCAATCTCCGAGGCTTTGTCAAGTGATCATACCGCTCAGACTAGCGATAGTATCACAAGTTATCAAGGGAGTAAGCGATGGTACCGCCAATTGTTAGGGGAGCAGGCGATGGTATCGCTAGTACTCCAGAAACTCGGGATAAGACACTTTATAGCTCTATTTTTGAAGTCATTTGGGGCCTATAAATACTCTATATTTTCCTACTTGACAAAGTATGGAAAGTGAAAAAACACTTGTGATATAAGAAAATACTGTTATAGTCCTTTGAGAGTTCTCTTCTTATTCTAAGTTTAGATTTATGTTTAAAGGAGTGAGTGACTTGTAAAGGTTTTTTCCTGAACGAAAAAGACAAAGAGTTGTAAAAGAGTAGTTGGTCTTCGTCCATTGAAAGAATATCATTATTGAATACTAGTGGTCTTGACGGAGGAGAAATCAGGAGTGGACGTAAGTCAACCGAACCACTATAAATCCGATATATTCTCTTATTTATTATTTATCTATATTACTTACTAATTTTGTTGATTACTCCTTTTTATTACTTATTAATTTTGTTGCTTACTCCACCTTCATAATCGGGCATGTCGTGTTTAGGATTGCAGCTAAAATGTGGATGTGGATTCCCTCTTCCTCTTCCCACATGATATTAAGTACACGTTGGCTTTCAGTCTATTATAACTGGTACTTGTCACATTTGCCGTGCAGACAATTCTTTCGTCAGCAACCATATAGTGCTATCCTCGGATGCGAAATATCGCACCGAGCTTTGATCATGTCGTAAAAAACAGTGTTAGAACGATTCTATACAATTATACCCTGCAAGAATAGATCCATCCATACATTGTGATCCTCTGATGAACTCTTCGAAGGATATATTGACATGTCCTCTCGTATAGAAATTAGAAAACATGATCATCATCTATAATACAATAGAAGGTTGAAGATACATACATGATTGGATTTTGGACATATATTTTTTTTTGGATTTTGACTTTGAAAAATTTTCGTGAGGTTCGGAAGTCAACTACACATTTAAAGAGTCGTCCTCAGAAACTGTACAACAAGATATATTACGGCCAAGAAGAGTGCAATCTGATAAGCATCTCTCTGCAAGTCATCATCCCTTTGAAAGAACTGAACCAAGTAAATAACATGTCAGTTTCATGATTAATGAATCTAAGTAGTAAATTTTAACATTTTCAATGTACATTACACATCAATGGGCTTGATCAGCTATCGCATCACCTTAATGCGAGAGTACTTGCAACCGATATACTTTTAACTAATTATTCTTTGATATGTAAGATAATAATGTAAGACAATGATATGAGCAAGACGTACGTAGAACAAATGGCCTCACAGTGAATGCACTCTTGCATACCTTCCATGTTCACAAGAAGTTGATAGTAGTTATACTATGTAGGACAATGATATGAGCAAGAAATATCGGTGATTGCCAATGGATTGTGTCAGGTGAATCAAACGCGGAACAGAGACACACACACCTACAAAATAATGGAGGCCATGGAGGGTTCCTCTAAGAGGGAACATCAAAAACTATAAGTTAAGGGATGAGGAAATACAAGTTAATGAGGGAGAAGCTCTGAAGTCTTGCATATAAAGGTTGGGTCAACCCAAATCAAAATGGCAATCCACAAAAGCATCATGGGGGGCATCAAATGAAAATGTCAAATAGATGACTGGACCAGTTATAATGTGAGCAAAGATTACAGATGATTAAGTGACATTTAGCTTAATACTACTTTGAAGTTTCAATCCTGATGTTCTTACCAACAAGTTTTCTAAGTGGCAATCTTTCGTTCTCTCTCTCTCTTGCTACTTTTTTTCTTTCTCTGAGGAATCCCATGAGACATCTAGCTTATGCTTGTGTTGGGTTTCTTAGACCTCTTACATAGTTGTATGTCTGCAGTTTAGGAAGCTGATAACTCTGCAGGTCAGAGTTAAGGCCTTTAGCTTTCACTATCAATTACTAATTTTTATTATAAAGTTAAATAAGTTACAATAATTTATGGGGATATATCATCACACAGGTTAACAGAACTAACATTTCCATACTAGTGAAAGATGGTTCCACCAATATAAGGCCTGGAAAGAAGTATACTTTAAGGCTACTTCTCTCAAACCCTTGAAGCCAGTGACAAACTATGCTGTGTTCTTCATGACAAGACATGCTGATCAAATGCAACATAAATAGCTTGTTGCTCAATTTGTTTTGCCCAATTTGAAACATAGTAATAGAACTCTTATAACACTTTACACTTGCTTTCTCTCCTAAATATGATAAACTACATATTCTCGATATACTGGATTATTAATCTCTATATGTTGCAACTCCAAGTTCATATTTCCCTCAAGTCCCACCCCTCCTCTGTTGGTGAGCCAAGCGCCTGTTGGGTTCCAGGCTGGCAATTTATGTTGCCAACCCTTGCGGTCCCTGAGCATGCCACATGGTCAGGGTGTTGGACTAATAGAAGTTTCTTTGGTTCTCATTAGGACCCTAATCGCTTTTCCTACTTCCCCCGTGTTGTTACTAAAACCGGAATCCTATTCCTCTTTCCAATCCATTTGCCCCTCTGGATTCAATAGATACAATGTCCCGCCATCACATTCCCTCTTGATTGACAACTTCCAGATCAAGGTTCAGCCCCATGCTATCGAAACCTCCTTAAGGTAGCCCCTCACATCCAACTCCACTTCCCCTATATATGCTCTGGTGGACAAGATTACCGCTGCATTTCAGAAGATAGCAGATGGAGCTTTGTTGGATGGTGATCTTTTGGAGGGTGATCTAGGGGTAGAATGGTTTGTCATCACTGAGCCATCCAACCATCCAGCAAAGTTCGGATGCACCCCCTTCAGGGAAGTCTAAAGCATTTCTTGCTTTCCCTCAAACATAAAAAGAAAAAAAAAAGAAATAGTTGGAGAGGGCAATTGCCTTGGATTCTACACAAACTTGTGTGGATAATCCCGTTATGCAAGTAATTTCTTTCCATTTTTACAATATGAAAATATGCCCGCTTGGCTTCTCTCAGCCATGGCATCTTTAATTTTATTCACAATTATCACTTGAACTATTTAATCCTTTTAGAAACTCATCTGCAGGAGGATGGTTTCAGGGCTTTTATCCGACAAATGGGAAAGCCAAAGCCAGCAAATCTAGCAGCATTATGATGCTGTGGATATCGGACAAGCTCAAAGCCACCTTAGTGGATAGAAACCATGAGTAGAAACCCTCAAGCTCTCAATTTAGTTTTACAATACAAAAGAATGCCCCCTTGGCTTCTCTTAGTCATTTATGCAAGTAATTTTCCCTCTTTGCGCAAGGCTTTATGGAATGAGTTTCTTTCCATTAGTATATTGTCTGAGATTCTATGGTTTCTGTGCAGAGATTTAAATTTCACTGCCTCTCTGGAGGACAAGCTTGGTGGTTGTCAATTCACTCTATCTCATTCTGTTTTGGATTTGAAGTACTTCCTTTTTTGAACCTGTTTGTTGGACTTGGGATTTGTTGGCAATCGTTTTACATGGTGCAATAGCCATTTTGGTAGAGATAAAATTGATGCTCACTTAGATTATGCTTTGGCTAATGAAAGTTGGATTTCTTTGTTTATTGAGTGTTCTATTTCCCACCTCCCCAAGGTCCTCTCTGACCACTCCCCCATTTTATTCAAGGCTGGACATCAGGTTGTCACCTTTAGACATCGTCCGATCTTTAGGTTTGAAAACTTTTGGCTTGAATGATGAAATCAATGATCTTGTTCTCAACTCTTCTCCAGATCTCTGTCTCCTTAATCCCATGTTGGGTCTCCACTAGTACCTCTCCTCCCTTAGCCTTTCCCTCACAAACTGGAAAAGAGCCAACAACGACAAGCTGAAGGACTCTATTAAGCAAACCATGAGGGAGCTAGCTGATCTGGAACTAAAGAATTCTTGTGAATCCCTCTCTGATTTGGAACTTAGCCAATTCCATCCCTCCACAATAAACTTATGATCCTTAATCGTCAACTTCACCAAAGTTCAATGGCTTAAGCAAGGTGATAAGAATGCTAAGTTTTTCGACAAAATGACTTCCTTCAGACACAAAAGAAACCAA